CTCTGCGCTCTTCAGCAGTGGCTTGATCTTGAAGTAGAGCTTCATCCACGGCCAATTCTTGACTCCCATGAAGGCCCGAATGTTCCACTGGATTACCAGCAGGGCATCCCTGACAAGGAAACATGGAGGTAGGGAGGAACCCCATGAAGGAGCACTTCCCAATCATGGAGCCAACCGCACTTGGCCTTCCTCCCATTTAAGCAAGTTTGTAGGCATCAGAGGCAGGAGCCCTTCTTGTAGCCTTACTCCCTACGTGTACTCCCAACCCAACATCACTACACTGAGTATGGAGTTGCTCAATAAAAATCAGTGATTAAGTTTCCCTGGGTACCAAAGTGTCCCTAGTATCAAAACCAAAACAAAAAAACCAACAATACACTTTAAGGTTCAACACATGGTACTATATAGTTGTAGTTCACTCTTTTTATTGCTTTGTAATATTCCACTGAATGGTTATAATACTATTTATCTATTCGCCTTTGGATAAAAAAAAAACATGGAAATTCAGATTGTTTCTAGATTTCTGACCAATGTTCCTATGAAGATTCTGTTTTGTTTTTTTTTTTCATGGTGCACATGTGTAGCTTCTCTGTGGAAAAGTACTCAGGATGGGAATTTAAAAGTTTGTGACTGTTCATTTTTAAATGATAATGATAAATCGCTTTCCAAAGAGGTTGTACTACTTTACACATTTGTTCACAGTGGGTCAGCATTCATAATTTTGGTTGATCTGGTGTTTTAAAATGGTATTTCTTTGGAGTATTTTTATTTAAAAAAAAATCCAAATGAGACCCAGAGTGGTAAGAAATAACTTTTTCAGGCCAGCAAGTAAGTGGCAAAGCCAGGATGTGCAGCCCAATCTTCTGAACCATACTAGTTGGTACCTCTTGTCTGCCTCTTGCATCTCTGGGGTGCCTTCCCCTTTCCCTCCTGCCTTACCTGCGCTCCACGATCTTCTTGAACTCAATGCGCATGAGCTGGCCCCGGGACTGGGCCTGGATGCGTGTGATGATGCGGCTTAGCCTCTCATCTCGCATCTCTTCCAGCAGCCCCAGAAGCCCGGCTTTGAAGAACACCTGTGGACAGGGGTTAGAACCAAGGAGGCCTCAGCCTCAGATCTGAGACAACTGGGGTGGAGAAAGAGGTGAGAGGACCCTGGATGAGTTCCCAGAGGACCCATCACTCCACATCCTAAATCCAAGACTGCAAATGCAAAACACAAGAGAGAACTGAAGCCTGGGTTTCAGCTCTTGGGCTAACAAGGAAGCCAGGAATTGGGGATCTGCCTCCTGCAGCTTTACCCATCATAGCCACCTGCCTTGCAACCACCTAGCAGGGCTCTAGACTCACCTTGGTGTGGCCAAACTTGTACTGGTTGTGGTCAATGTCCAGAGAGCTCAGCAGTTTCTCTGCCCCTTTCCTGCTGTCAATAAACTGTCCCTCAGGGATGGCCGCCGGGTTCAGGATGCGATACCTGGGGAAGGGAGTGCTGGGGTCACTTGCATTGTGCATGGATTATGCTCTGCATACAGAATTCCAGGGCTGTCTGCAGACTACTGCTCCTCTGCTCCGTGCACTCCGGGGCACACCCGTACCCACCTCTGCCGGAAGTCCCCATAGAGGATGCGGTTGGGGAAGCCCTTCCTGCAGATGCGGATGCCCTCCAGCACGCCGTTGCAGCGCAGCTGGTGCATAACCAGGGGGTTGTCCATCACCCCTGTGGCAGGAGGGGAGGAGAAGGGGTCATTCTCAGGGTAAGTGGATGTCAGGCATCCTCCCCAGACTTAAGCCTTCCCCGGGGCTCACCTGGAGCCTTTCGTTCATTGGGGATGATGCAGCGCACAAAGTGAGGATGGGTGGACCTCAGGTTGGTCATCAGCTTATTCAGATTTTCCTGGGGTGGATGAAGATGGAGAGTTAGGAACCACAAGGGCCTGCTTTTAGGTCCCTGAGCCCTGGTCCCAGGCACCCTGTCACCAGAACTTATGGGAGCCATGGGACAGGGGGTTGACAACTAATTCATGATGTGAGTTCAGGCTTGTCTAGAATTTACATGCTAAAAATTACCACATGACTTTGGCCTCTTTCCTCCTCAACCTCAGAGCAGCAGGAGAGGGCAATGCAGCTCCAGGCCTAGGGCTTCCCCACCACAGGTCCTCAGGAATCCCTGGGCCCTTCTTACCCGGTGGAGAGCAGACACGGTCTGGAAGGATGAGCCCTTTTTCTTGCCTCCTTTGCCTTTACCACTATCCCCTAATAATGGGAAAAGGAACAACGAACAAGAGCTTAACAACAGAGGAACCCTGGGGCAGGGACAGGGCTCTGGCACTCAATAGCTATGTGACTTTGGTAAGGCTATTTTTCAGGTTTCCATGAGGATGGAGTAACTACCTCTAAAAGCTGGACAGAGGATTGGATAAGACCAAGCCCATAAGGCAGCTCCTCGGTAGACATTGAAATCCCATCAAGGGCCTAACCCTCCTCTTCTAACACTCCCCTCCATTCTTATGTCTTCCCACTTTCTAGTTTTCTTCTTATCCTTTTAATTTCAATCCACACTCTTTTTCTTTCTCTCTGAATTACAGGTCCATTTGTTCTACCATGTATTCAGTGATCCTCTTCCTGTAGACTAAGAATTCTTGCTTGCATGGCTCTATGCTGGGCCTGGGACAATGTTGTATGTACTGCTCTTACTGACCTTGAGGAAGCAGACATGTGCACCAGTATGCAAAACACCAAGTGGACAAAGGCAGGTACTAAGGGGAGGTAGAGATGGACTCTGGTGGGACCTCCTGACTAATAGCCTCCCCTTGCCTACTTCTGGACCCTGCACCTCTAAAAGTCCCCTGGCTCAGTGCAGGGGCTGCTTACTTACCAATATCAACAGCAGCATAGGAAGAGAAGAGTGTGGCCATGAGCTTGAGGGAGGACTTCTGGTATAAGCCCACCACTGTCTCATTGAGTGGGTCTTTGTTCTTCTCCAGCCAGCCCAAGATGTTGTAGTCCACGGTGCCAGCATAGTGGACCAGGGAGAAGTGGGCTTCCTGCTTCCCCTTGATATTGCGTGGCTTCTGGAAGTTGTTGGACTTGCCCAGGTGGTTGTCATAGAGCTTGGCCTTGAAGGTCATGTCAGTAGCCTTGGGGAACATGCACTCCTCTTCCAGGATGGACATGATGCCCATGGGCTGAGGTCAGGGTGGGAAGGTGGAGAGAGAATCACTTAGCATATTCCCAGGCTTCCAGAATCCCACATCCTGAGCGAGAAGATTCCATAGCCCAGTGTTGCTGGTGGGCCAAAGGGAACCTGTGCTTATACCTCTTGTCCCAGGATAAGAAGCCAATATTCCTGGAAATGACCTAAATCCAATTACACTCAGATCTAGCCTGTATGACCTTTTCTGCTTCAGGGGATCCAGCAAAGAGCTATGTACTCCTAATCATCCCTCAAGGCCTCAATACTTCACAACACTGACCATTTTTTCCTGATATCTCTGCACCAGGGACACTAGGCCAGGAACAGAAGTGTCAGAGGAATCAGACTGCAGGGGCAGGTCAGACGTCTATCTACTGGACACAGGTAGCAATGCTTCAAGGGTTGATTAGAAGGACCTAGGCTCTGTACAACACTCCATCTTTCAGGGAATGTAGTTCTTGGCTTTTCTTGGTATAGGAATGCTTTTGAAAATTTGTTTAAGCCAAAGAATATCTCTCTAGAAAAACATATGTATGCACACACATACACACACATACATGTATATATGTATGTACTCATGCATTTTTCCCATAGTTTTAGGATAATGACTCAAAGACTATAGGAAGCTCACATTTTGTGAAGGTAGAGACTGGCTAGGTGTAGGTGGGATACTCAGGCTCTCTCTGTGACCATACCACCCTCAATGTTCCAGATCTCCTCTTGTCTCAGAATCTAAGCAGGGTCGGACCTAGTTACTACTTGGATGGGAGATACTCAGGCTCTGGCCTGTGTTAGCAAAGAACAAAGGCACACTGAGGGCAGTCAGCACTGGCATGAGGTGGCTCTCACCTTCTCCCCTGTCTCTCCTGAGGACCATCCACAGAGAAGAGGGGCTGCAGACTGGCTTATTTCTCAGTGAACCAGAAGAGGATAGGAAGCCAAATGTCTCTATTTTAGTCTAGGATTTTTCCATGAAAGATGCTTCTTATGGGGTTGAGAGAGGCCAGGAGACTCTCCTTCTCTACACTTCACTTTTACTACAGAAATGCCACCACCATACAGAGAGAACAGGATTAGAAATCCTGGGGGAAGACCAAAGGGGATCATCCTGTGTATGCCCATGACTTCACAGTGGGTGAAAGCTGGGTCTGGAGAAGGACCCAGGATTCTGGGGAGCTCTAGTTTCTTGAATGCAGAAGGGAGCGGGGCTGTCACTTTTTCTGATATGGCAGAGGACGGAGTTACGGAAGATGAGGACAGGCACCTTCTCGATGAGGTCGATGCAGGCCTGCAGGTCCATGCCAAAGTCAATGAACTCCCACTCGATGCCTTCCTTCTTGTACTCCTCCTGCTCCAGCACGAACATGTGGTGGTTGAAGAACTGCTGCAGCTTCTCGTTGGTGAAGTTGATGCAGAGCTGCTCAAAGCTGTTGAACTGCAGGCAGGGAGGGGCAGGAGCAGGTCAGGCAGGCAGGTGTCTGGGTGGCCATGGGGGTCAGCCCAGGGCTGTGCCATGCACCATGCCCAAGCCCAGGAGGGATGGGGCTGGTCCCCTCCCGGGTCAAGGCAAGGGAGGGAGGGCTTGCCCTGAGGACAGGGACAATGACTGCCCTGTCAGTGCCACTGCCTTTCTGTGCTTGACCCATAGCTGGCCCTCCACAAGTGACTGTGAGTGTGCAAGTGGCTCCCTGGCTCACATCAAAGATCTCGAAGCCAGCGATGTCCAGGACTCCTATGAAGTACTGGCGTGGCTGCTTGGTCTCCAGGGTGGCGTTGATGCGTGTCACCATCCAGTTGAACATTTTCTCATACACTGACTTGGCCAGTGCTCCGATGGAGTAGTACACCTGCTGTACGCTCTGCCCCTTGGTGACATACTCATTGCCCACTTTCACCCGAGGGTGGCACAGCCCCTTGAGCAGGTCAGCTGAGTTCAGCCCCATAAGGTAGGAGGACTTGTCAGCATCTGGTTGAGAAAGAGAGAGTGAGCACTTACAAAGATTCTCCCTCCCTGTCTCAAATCACTTCTAGTTAGTGCAGCTGTGGGCATGGGAGGATTCCCTGTCTGCCCAACTCCCTTGTGTCTCTGTCCTTCCCACCTGTCAACCCATTCCTCTGGCCCCCAAGCCTCAGGTCCTCAGGAACCAGCCTGTCTGGGGACCGTGAGTGGTCAGAGGTCTAACTGGGCTCTAAATGAGAAGAAAGCCTGGATTCAGGGCTTGGCCCTCAGAAAAGGCCAAGCTCTCCAACCATCTACTTCTCCTGATTTCCTTTAAACATTCTCTTGTGGGGTCCAAACAAGCCTGTTTTCAACCTAATTTCTTAAGAATTTTTAAAAGGACCTTTGGATACAGCATGGGAGGCCCAGCTCCCATGACCGTCTCTGGCATGATAAGTCAACAGGCCCCTTTGGCCTGGTCAACGCCTCTGGCCGCCTGCCCTGCTCACCTTCTGTGCCGTCAGGCTCCGCCTGCTCCTCCCGCTGCTTCTGCTTGAACTTCATGTTTCCATAGTGCATGATGGCGCCTGTCAGCTTGTAGACACCGGCTTTCTCCTCTGGAGTGAAGCCCAGCACGTCAAAGGCACTCTGGGACAGAACCAGAGGGGCAGAGGGAGGTTGGAGCAGTGGCCAGGAGCTCTCAGGAGCCCTCACAACCCCACCCCAGACTCCTCACTCACATCAGTGGCCATGAGCTCCTCAGAGTCGTCGATGGAGGCCACGGACACTTCTCCCTGAGATACGAAGGCGTAGTCGTAGGGGTTGTTGGTGACCAGCATCATGTCTGTGCCAGGCAAGGGAGGGCAGGGCAGGGACAAGGAGATAGGGATGGGGCAGGGAAGGGAAGGGGGAGGAGAATGGAGGGAGAATGGAGGAGGAGAGGAAAGGGAGCAGGAAGAGAAAAGGAGGATCAGCAAGGAGCAAGGAGAGAATCCAGAGGACATGAAGACCTACATGGGGGGGGGGTCCAGGAAGGGAACATACCTGAGGCCTCAGCAAGAAGGAAGAGGGAGGATAGTAGGGAATGGCGTGTGGAAGAAGGGAAGGCGAGTGAAGAGAAGGAGAGAATCAACGAGAAATGAGAAGAAAAGTGCCAGGGGAAGTGTGGAAAGAAGCCATTGAGAAGGAGTAAGGAGTGTGGTAGTGTAGCGGGAGGCAGGAGACTCAGGGTCCCAGGCGGGGGAGGAAGAGAGTGAGCAGAGGGAAGGGAAGCAGGCAGGTGGGCAGAGTGAGGGGAAGGAGGACCCGCACTGCACACAGGTGGGCTTTGGGGTAGGCAGTGGGGCAAGGGTGCAGGTGGGGCTCACCCAGCAGCTCTGGCTTCTTGTTGGACAGGATCTGGTAGAAGATGTGGTAGTTCCTCTCAGACTTTAGCTGGAAGATCACCCGGGACTTCTCCAGCAGGTCTGAGGTGGGGAAGGTGGAGAAAGGTGAGGTGGGAGAGCAAGGGAAGAGAGGAGAGTCAACAGAAGGGTGGAGATGGGGAGAAAGGCTCCTGCAGAGCAATAGCTAGACCCATGGGAAAAGACTGAGTTAAAGAAAAAAAAAATACTAAACCCATAAAGCAGATGCCGACCTAGAGAGAAGGTGGAGGGAATGAGGAGGTCAGGGTGCAGCCGGGAGGGCAGGCAAAGGAGAAGGACTCAGAGGACGGGCAGGCTCTCTGCTGTTACTCACAGGTCTCTATGTCCGCGGAAGCCAACTTTCCAGTGGCTCCAAAGTGGATTCTGATGAATTTCCCCTGTGGGTAGATGGAACAGCGTAAGGGGACTGGCCAGAAGGGACAGAGTGAAATCATGCACCTCAACTCAACCCAGAAACCCTGGTGGTTCTAGAATGTAAATGACATATTCGGTATCTCTTTTCCATTTTCAGTAAAATGGGAAACAGTGCCAATGCCCAGTGGGGAATGTGAGTGGAATCAGCAGCCCAGGGACTGACACAGGGAGAACCTCTCCCATTTATGCCTCTTACATTCTCTCACGTAATCCCATCAGTACTATGCAAGGTAGACATCATGGCTCCCACTTCACAGTGAAGGAATTGGGCTTAGGGAGGTGTGGGAACTTGCTGAGAACACAGGGAGTCAGGCCTTTGGCTCCAAAGCCTGTGCTATCTTCTTATGTCCATTGTGGAAGAGCTTTGGAAATACTCATAAGAGAAATCTAAAATATGACCCAAATCATTTCTATTACTTGGCTAGAGAACAGTTATGGTGACTCTGGGCCACTTTCCAGGACAGGATTGGGAGGATTTGTGTGTGTGCACATGCTTGTTGATATCCCAAAGCTAGACACAGTACAATCAACTGAGTATGCCTACTGTTGGCAAAACAGCACCCCCTTCTCTTGTCAATTCTGAATGAGGTCACTTGGCAGTGGTCAGGGACAACTCACGAAGCGGGAGGAGTTGTCGTTCCGGACGGTCTTGGCGTTGCCAAAGGCCTCCAGAGCAGGGTTGGCCTGGATGATCTGGTCCTCCAGAGTGCCCTGTGAAGGGAGCAGAACCATGGGCATTCATCCTCTGTCCACTTCTAGGTGGTGGTGGGAGGGCAGCAAGGCTGCTCTGGCCCTGGGAGGTGAGGTGGGGCTGGATGAACTGCTGGTGTATCTGCAGCTCCAAAGGGAGTCAGACCTCAGATTTCAGAGTGTGACTCCTGCTAACAAGGTCTTCTGCACAGTGTGGACCCTCAGGAGCCCTGCTTTGCCCCCAACGCCCCGCCCCCTTCTGAACCTGTGAGTCAGCCACACGACACCTTGTTTGCATTGGGATTGTCCTTCTTGCCACGGTCACCTATGGCTGCAATACTGGCAAAGTACTGGATGACACGCTTTGTGTTCACAGTCTTCCCTGCTCCGGATTCTCCACTAGAAATAACAGGGACCAATCAGAACCCAGGATTCTTGCTGTTGTTCATACAGAGCTCAGCATTTGCTTTTCCCTTCCCAGTCTAAGCAACCAGAGTCCAGCACAGTATAGGATTTTCCCTTGAGAAAGAGTCCAATACTCTACACTCCCTGCAGTCCACAGTCTGGATATATCACCCCCTCCCCTGTAGGTGGATGGCACTTGCTCACGTGATGAGGATGGACTGGTTCTCCCGATCTGGAAGAGAAAAGAGGAGAGGCAATGCAGTGAGGGCTGAGGGCTCAGCTGGGGGTTGGGTGGACAGGCACAGGGCGGGTGCAGGGCTCACCTGTCAGCATGTACTGATAGGCGTTGTCAGAGATGGAGAAGATGTGAGGTGGGGCCTCGCTCCTCTTCTTGCCCCGGTAGGCGGCCACCACCTCGGCATTGTACACTGGCAGCCACTTGTAGGGGTTGACAGTGACACAGAAGAGGCCCGAGTAGGTCTGGAGTAGGAGACAGGGCTGGGCATGAGGTTAGGGAAAACAGGAAGACTGGGATGGACAGTGGTGACAGGCAGGAGCTTTTCTAGTTATTCCAGCCAGTTTCTCTTTTTCTGCAGCTGACCAGGGGTAGCGGGTAGGAAGAGACTGGGTCCCTTGGGAAAGTCCCTATCCCCTTTGTTTCAGAGGGTTCTGCTGGCCTCCTAGGGCCTCCATCCAGAACGAGGAGCCCCTGCAGTGTGCAGCAGCCACTCACATAGATCATCCAGGCTGCGTAGCGCTCCTTGAGGTTGTACAGCACCGCCGGCTCGTGCAGGAAGGTCAGCATGGCCATGTCCTCAATCTTGTCAAACTTGGGTGGGTTCTGCTGCATCACCTGGTCCTCCTTCACAGTCACCGTCTAGAGAGGAAATGGGTGGTAGGACAACCAAATTCCCAGCCTGTGCTTGACAAGTAAGGCTCTGCTCCCCTAGCTCTTCCATCATCAGGGTTCTATCTTCTAGCTACTACAGGACACAGTCCCCTGATAATTTTCCTGCTCACAGACTCTCTACCCTAGAGACTGTCCTAGGACCCTTTTATTTTGCCAGTTCTCCAGGCCCTATGATATCACTCCCGTCCCTATGTTTTAAGTATCTAGAGGCAAACCTGGGTACTGGCAGCTCCAAGATACGTGCCCACCTTATGTGTTACCAGGAGTTGTCTCCTGAGGTCTGTGTTCCAGGGCAGTGTTTGCTCAAGGCAAGGATTTTCCCTACTGGAAGAACAACTTACAGACCCTACACACCACATGTACCACTGTTGGTGTGGTTTGATTGGCATTAGTTAATTTGCCATGGCCTGACATTAGATCCTGTCAGTAGGTATTGCAGCATTTTTTATAGTGGTGGCTGTGGTTCTCAACAATTAAATGATTTGCCTTCACAGTGACCAGGTAGTGGCAGAGTCAGGAAAAGAATCAAAGCAAGGGCCCCATGGGTTTTGGCCCGTTATTACACACCTCAGTGGATGCAACATTCAGTCAGCAAGTCTGGGAGGCACACAGCTCTGAGCCCTGCCGGTGAGCTGTGGTGATTCTCATGGCTAGAGTGAGCAAGCCAGGAGCAGGGGTTTCCGAGTGACAGTCACTGGCCCCAGTACTGAGATTTCAGCTCAAAACTTTTCAGCTCAAAAGTTTCTGCTCTATGTTCATTTGGATCTAAGAGTTGGCTCTTGGTTTGTTTGAGGAGAATTTGAGAAAAGGAACCAGTAGAGGAAACTGAGGCACAGAGAGGAGGGGTGCAAGTGCCAAAAGGGGGAGCTTCTTCTTTTTTTTTTTCTTTCTTTCTTTTTTAGTACCAGGTATTAAACCCAGGGCACTAAATCGCTGAGCCACATCCCCAGTCCTTTAAATATTTTTATTTAGAGACAGGGTCTCGCTGAGTTGCTTAGACCTCACTAAGTTACTGAGGTTGGCTTTGAACTCTCAATCCTCTTGTCTTAGCCTCCCAAGTGCTGGGATTATAGGCATGTGCCACCATGTTCTGTGGGATGGGGGAAGGGAGCTTCATTTAATGGTGTGTCTGTGCCTTCTTTATCTATAAGACCTCTCTGAGGGGGAAACAGTGAACCCCCTGCACCCCTTCCAGCATCCTCTTTGGCAAGTGGTATGCATCCCTGGGGTGACATCCTGATGCATCTGCTCAGGGTCCTCTGAGAAGGCTCAGATGCTGGGCTGTTGAGGGAAATGACCTTGCATCCCAGCTCTCTCCTCAGGCCTTCAATTCCCACTATAGGTGGCTCCAGTCCTGCACTCCCTGCCCCCCAAGGAACTTACCCCCTGCCCTGACACCGTGCCCCACGTACCTTGCCATTCTCGGTCTCAGCAGTGACCTTGCCCCCTTCCCGGGACACAATCTTGGCCTTGACAAACTCTTCCTTGTCATCTGGCACAAAGCACTCAGTGCGGATGTCAAAGGGCCTGGTCTGGGACTCCAGACGCTCCTTCTCTGACTTGCGGAGGTACTGGGCTGCTGCCCCAAAGTCAGCCATCTGGGAGTCAGTCATCTTGTCGCTCTTCTGGTCGAAGACAGGAGGGACCTGTTATTTCTGCAGTGGGCCCAGACTTTGGTGGATGGCCTTGTCCTTTTCACCCCTACCTCCTGCCCTACCTCTTTCCTATTGCTTTCCACCACAGCAATAGGCGCTTGCCTAGGCACATGATGAACGCCCCCGCCCCCCCCACCCCGTCCTGTCCTGGGAGTTCTGCTTTCCTTGCCCTCTGAGGTCACCTGAAGGTGGATTTCAAAAAGGGGTTTCTGTAGGTTCAGGTTGACTGGAGTTTGCCAAGGGAAGGTGCTAAGCTGCTTAGGGGAGAGACAGAGGACCCTGGTCCAGCGACCTGGCAGGAGAAACCTGATCTGCCATTTACAGAGGAAGTTAGGGGGCTTCTCACCTGGTTATCTCTTCTCAGAGAATCCTGAAGAGTTGGGACCACAGGTGGAGCGAGGCAGCCCAGAGGTGCAACAGAACAGAGAGAAGAACAGACAGGAGAATGAACAAGGGATGCAGGCCAGCTGGGAAGAGGAGACTTGACCCAGGGAGCCAGACTGAGCAGAAGAGACCAAAACAAGGAGGGAGGCAGAGAGGGAGAATGAAAGAGCAAAACAGATGCAGAGGGGCTGGGGACACGGCTCAGGGGTCGAGCACTTGCCTAGCATGCCACCAAACCCTGGGTTCCACCTCCCAGCATTGGGATGGGGTGGGGGTGGGGAAAGGGAGAGAGAGAGAGAAAGGAAAAAAAAAAGGGTGAAGAGTTAGTAAAAGCATGAGCCATGATAAGTGGACACAGAGTGAGACACAGAGAGGCAGGTTAGAACACAGCCAAGAGGGAAGGGCCAGGGAGAGAGACAGGTAGAGAAGCACCATCTAGACAAGGACTGGTAAAGACCAAGAAGCATGATAAGATCAGGACCAAGGGAAGGAAAACACCCAAAGGAGGGGAAGGAGGCAGCATGTGCAAGACTCAGAAAGGTGCCGGAAGAGAATGGAGTCTGAGAAGAAAGAGGGCTGGTGTTGCAGTAGAAACACACTCTTGGAGGGAACTCCCTAAGCTGGAGGAAGGCAGCTGTAAAAGAACCCATGGGCCCCCCAGTGGACCCGCACCCTACTCCCAGGAAGACAGAAGCCCTCAAGGGGAGCTGTCTGCACTGGATGCAGAGCCCTCATCCCAAACTCCCTCTTACCTGTGTCGGACTGACGAGTCTCTGTGTGTCCACAGAGCTCTGGTTCCTTTATATCTCACTTCCCCCACCCTGCTGCCTAAATTTGGAGTCCTTCCGGAGGGACCCTCTCCTCCCACCTCTCTTGCCTCCTGGCTCCTCCTCCCTTGATCCCTTTGGCTCTGAAGGTGACAGGAGGACAGCAGGGCCCCCAGGTTTGCCCATGAAAGGTTCGTTGCCCCAGCCCCTCTGGCTCCAGGGCCTTTTTTTAGTCCTTGGACACATTCCTCCCCTCCAAAGGGCTGATGGGCAGATAGTGAGAAGACAGGACCATTTCGCACCACCTCCCCCATCCACCATGGCCCTTACCTCAGTTATTTTTAATCTCAAGGGTGAGTTGAACACACTGGGCGAGGGTCACCTTCTCTTGCAGGACAAATACTTGTCCCCTATCCCTCAGTCACAGGCCCCCCTCCTTGGTTCCCTACCCTCTGCTTTCTACATTGCCTGTTCTCACATAGCCTCAGGCTGAGAGCATCTCCCTACTCTCTCAGACCTGGAGTCCCACAGTTCTGGGGTCTGGGGGCTAGAACCAGGATGCCCAGAGAGGACATCAGCTCCCTGACTCAATTTCCCTTCATCAGGAAAAGAATTTCTGTCCTGCCCTTACTCTACCCAAAATGCTCTGCTTGGTTTCTATCCCTCATGTCTCCAGCCAGGTGTTCTCTAGAGAACTTGAGGCTGCCTTGATTTGGGGGCACATCTGGGGCTCCCACCCAACTCCTGGTGCTTTTGGTACAGTGGCTGTCATCCAGCTCCCTCATACAGTGAGGTTTCTCCCACACAGCCTCAGGCAGACTTGCACAGAGACCTACAGTCTAGTACCTTCACATATAGACTTGACCAGCCATAAGTCCATGGCCATTTTCAGCCATATACATGCAGATTTTTCACTTACCCACTTAAGCTTGCAGATTTCCCTTCTTGCTTTTATGCACATTAATGCACACATTTGCCCACCAACATTTGCACACATAGGTTTTTACTGTCCCACTGCCATCCTTCGTTCCTGGTGGAGAGGTCAGAGGCGTTAATCCTGGGGCCTGAGGGAGGAGGGGTGGGGGTGGGGGGCTGCTCCCTTCCGCCTCTCTGTGCTGCCAGAGGGTGCAGGTGCTGCTGAGGATGGCTGGGGCGCCTGGCAGTCCTGGGGATTTACACCAGCTGGGCCCCAGGCTCTGCATTCCAGGGGTGTGGGGCTCTGCAGACGGCCCTCCACCCCAGGTAGAACTCTGGTGTCCCCTCCCAACCTTTCTGGAGTCCATACTCACATGGCTTTCTTCATGATGTCCTCAAGTGTCCAGGCCCTCAAGGCACCCCTCCCCATCCTCCAGTGTCGCCACCTCTCAGAGGCTGTAGGTATTGGGTCTTCAACAGGCCGTGCCTGTTATGACTAAGTGGACATTGTGTTCAGGAAACAAAGCCAGACTCCCCTGCTCTGGCTTTCCCCTACACCCTCACACCCAGGAACAATCTCCCAGCTCCCCCCTCCCACGCCATCTACTATCACCTCTCAATATAGCTCTAGGGTGTGGAGGTGGGTAGGACAGACAGGGGTCAGCCTCTCTGGGTAGGAGCATGCTCCATTAAAGATGTGACTTCCCCCCAAGGTCATCAACCCCCTAGGACATTTCACGGCCCCATTATGGGGATCAAGAACATACATCTCCCACTAGGGGAATTATTACCCTGTATTCAGTGTCCTTGAAGGGACCTGAGTTGATCCCACATCCCCATCTTCTGCAGGTGCATATGCCAAATTGTTATTCCCAGGGGATGCAGGCCACCTGTTCCCACTCAAGGTGCCAGTATGCAAACTGGGGGTTAGCCCATGACCCAGTGCGTCACTGCCTGCTTCCCATGGCCCTGGGGACATGATAAGGGGCTGAGAACACTAGGTCAGGTTGGGTCAGGTCCAGGTGACAAAGAGCAGGCTCTGTCCTCAGGGAACCCAGCGCACCGAGCACGCCAAACTTGGTATAGGTATGGATTGGAGGGGTGAAGGTGGGCAGGCGGTTCCTGCTTCTCCTATGGAAGGAGGAAGAAGGAAGGAGTTAACTTGGCTCCTGGCTCTACCCCCCTGTATGGTCTGGTTTGCCCTCCTCCTCCTTTGCTGGGCCCCCTCCTCTTTCCTGGCTCTCACATACTCTTCTCCATCTTTCTTCAGCTGCTTCCCAAACCAGCTCTGCATTCTGCTGGGAGTCCTGGAGTGTGCAAGCACAGGAGAGAGACTCCAGCACAGGTGAGGGGGACCAGGAGGCAGGGTCTCCTTGGCGTGGGTAGCCCCTTTTCTGCCTGGCTTCCTGTGTCTGTCTGTCTGTCCCTGTGTCTGACCTTTCTTTCCCTCTGCCTGGTTTCCCATCTCAAAGTCAGCCCAGGCCTCTGCTTCTTCTGGGCCCATGTCTGCCTGTCTTGGGGTCTGACATGAGGTTTGCCCTGTCTAGGTCAACCTCTTAGAGCTCTCAGCCTGTCTCTGCCTTTACATCTTGTTCTGGTTCCTCATCTACCTCTGTCCTGCTTACCCTCCTCCTTGGTTTTCCTGACTCTTGCATCTGAAGGTGACCAAGGATTCTTCCCTTCACCCACTGTCACTTCCTGCTCTTTGAGCTTCTCTGTGTGAGGCTCCCCTCATTTCCTCTTCTCACCCATCCCCTCTCAACCTCCTCCTTCCCCCAGAGACTCAACTTGGGGCCTGCCCTTGACTTTGCTATCTGTACCCAGACTGGCAGTCTTAGCAGCATCTATAACTCTTGCTCTATTAGGTTCTAGATCTTAGATTCCCATAACTTTTCCATGTATTTCCATCTTCAAACGTGTCTTTCTTTTTCTCTACTCATCTCTTCATTACTCTCCAAGTCTGTTCCTAGGAAGGGGAGAAGTGAGGAGGGAGCCAAGAGGAAGCTGAGAGGGCCTGGGTTCCTTCTAAGGCTTCCTCATGTCTGGTCTCTCTTTTTTCCCCATTTCCTCTGCTCATGGTGTCCCTGGGTTCTCCTTCTCTCTTGACAGTACCCCTCAGGCCTTTCCTTTTTCCATCCCTGTGCCCTTTAAATGCCCTCCCCTCACCTGCTATTTTCAATACTGCTGTCCCCTCCTCCCTGGCATAGTGCCCTTGCTCTGACTGCTTCACTTGTGCTCAGAGTCCAGGGAGGACTGGGGAACAGGAGCTGGCTGTGCATGGAAAATGTGTGTCCAGAGGTGGGGGTGAGGGGAGAGTCAGTCCAGGGCTGACCAGGTTCCCAGAGGAGCTAAGGGTCCCCTTGTCTCTCAGGCCCACAGTCCCAGGCCCACCCTAAACAGCCCAGCTGTGGCAGTAACTCCAAGAAGGCTGGGCTTGCTTTCTTGAAGGGGCCCTTTCTCCTTCCTCCACCTCCCAACTCTCCAGGGACCTGTACCTTCCCCCCTCCTCAGTGTCTTGCCTATTGGCCTTCCCTAGTCCCTCCTCTCCTCCTTCCTCTTAAGAAGGCTTGCCATGCATGGGTCAAAGAACCCCATCTCCCAGGAGCTGCTTAAGGGCGAGGCCTTGAGAATGGAAGTTACAGTGCGGAAATAAGGGAGAAGAAAGGAGTACCTGGAATATGGGGCTGAGCCCTGGGATGAGAGAGAGATGTACTGAGGGTGCTTTTCTCCTGGCTGCGGTAGGGAGAGGCCTGGGCCCTGTGAGGGATGGTGTTGGAAGGGTTCGTGGACTACAGCCATGTATAGGCTGTGTTCTCTGAGACATGCCACGGGCTGCAGCAGAGAGGGCCATCACTTCAACAGCCTGCATGGCCCACACCTCTGTGGATCCCTGGGCACTGGTCAGCCCCTTCACACTAAACCTCCTCCTCATGGCCCAGATCCAGATAATACCAGTGTCGGACGGTGTTGACTGGGGCTGAGGTGTAGGACTCAGTGTGTCCTAGGTGAGATTTAGGGGTCTCCCTAAATTTCCTTTCACCCTAAGGGATGCTAGACCAAGGAGAGGGCTGGAAGAACAGGTGTCACCCCTCTGTTGATTTGGCTGGGTGGGGAAGAAGATTCCATGGGCCAGTTCTGCTGCTAGGAGGGTTCAGAGCCTCACAGACTCCGTGGAGAAGCCTCCTAGCCTGACTTTTGAAGCTGCCCCTCCTCCTCTAGAACCCTACCCCACCCCCATCTGGGCCCCATGGCTGTCAGGCAGTGAAGAACAGTCTAGAGGCAGGATCTCAGCTTCAAGGAAAATTGCTTTATTCTGCATCCTCCCAAGGGGCTCTTATAAAAGGTGCTGTGTCTGGGTCTTCATTGGCACCCTCAGGACTGGATAGATCAAGATGTGGCAAAGCTATTCCTCATTCAAGCCCTTTTGAAAAAAAAAAAAAGTCCAAATTAGCTCTGGAGAGACAGGCATTGTGGGCAGGGGGCACAGAAAACAAAGGTGAGACCAGGGCATGGATGGAAACCCTGAGGTGGGTTTCCACTATGAGTGGGAGCGGGGAGTTCTGGAGGGTCGAGCTCTGGGGTGGGCCAGAGAGAAGCTTCCTGGATGAGGACAAGGTGGTACTCTGGGATGTCCTTCTGATGCTTGAGTGGCAAAGTCAGAGGCCACTCATGTGGGAGGGAAATGAATCTAGCAGTTGGGGGGGGGATTGGAATATATTGGGTGTAGGTAGGTTGGGGTGTTGTAGGCTGGATGACCATTCTAGGGCTGGGATTTACAGGTCATTGAAAGTTAGAATTTTAGAAATCACAGGGAACTCAATTGTGTTGGCTTCTGGGGCTTTCTGGTTCAGTTAGGGAATAAATGAAAAGGAGGTAGCCATGGTGTGTGGGTGCTCTGTCTGAGGCTGGAGGAGCAGGTGCACCTGCTGTTGGAGGCAACAAGTGCAGCTCAGAGGAGGGACCCACCTTGGTGCCAATGTCACGGCTCTTGGCCCGAAGCTTGTTGACCTGGGACTCAGCGATGTCGGCCCGTTCCTCTGCCTCATCCAGCTCGTGCTGCACCTTGCGGAACTTGGACAGGTTGGTGTTGGCCTGCTCCTCCTATGGGGAGTGGGGGGATGTGAGGATGAGGTAAGACGGGGCCTGGGCTCTCATCCTCCAAAGAAGGGGGGCAGCTTCCCTTGGTCCCTCCTCCAGGCCTTGACCCCAGCAGGGTCACTCACCGCCTCCTCAGCCTGGCGCTTGTAGGCCTTGACTTTGAGCTGTAGCTTGTCCACCAGGTCCTGTAGCCGCAGCAGGTTCTTCCTATCCTCTTCAGTCTAGGGGTCAGGGGTGGGCAGGAGTGAGGCTGGTACAGTCATTAGGGGCAGCATCCTACCTCCAGCTTCTCTTGTCTTCTTTATCCTGAATGTAATATCCTGAACTGATTCTATTTTCTGATCCACACTAAACGCTTGAATTCTCCTTATAGTTTCTTATCCAAAAGTGTGAATATTGCCAAGTGTGATGGTGCATGCCTGTAATCTCAGTATCTCTGGAAGCTGAGGCAGAATTGTGAGTTCAAAGCCAGCCTCAGCAATTTAGCAAGGCTTTAAGCAACTCAGCAAGACCCTGTCTCTAAATAAAATATAAAAAGGGCTGGGGATTTGGCTCAGTGGTTAAGTGCCCCTGGGTTCAATCCCCAGTACCAAAAAAAGAAAAGATATATTTTAAATGATGTGTACCAGGAAGGAATACAAGGAATGGATGGTGGGATTCCTGAAATCATGCCCTAAATTGTGTGTGTGTACTCTTCTATGGAGCAGGCTCATGAAGGTCAGGACCTCATAGAGGATAAACTCCCTGGCTCTGGAGCTCAGTTTGTGCTGGGAGTGACTTTGGGGATGTGAGCATGATGGAATTTCCTGGGCTGCAATGGAGTGATTTAATCTAGGTTAAGGACAAAGTGTATTTACAGGAATGGTGACATACTGGATTGGTAGAGAAATGAATTCTAATTGAGAGTCTGATTTAGAACCATGAAAATTTGGAGGGTACTGTCCTGAATAACTAAAACTTTGAGATTTGTTTAAAAGGCTTTGGTGTGGCTTTGGTATTTTTTGGGGTGAGCGAGGCTACACATTTATTTCCCGGGGAGCTGTGCTGGGTGAGCCCTGTCTGGAGCCCTGGGTGTATCCCCAAGGTATGGGCTGAAGGTGCATGTTGAGGTGGTGCACACACAGGCTAGGAAACTCAGAGACTGATGTCTGGGCCTGGGGACACCCTGGTGAGGCAGGGCTAGGCAGAGTGAAATAGGGCAGCCAAGGGCTGCACTCAACCCTTGCCCCAGAAAAGGTAAGAACAAACACTTCATTCCCTTGGGTGCTTGTCACTGTGGCTTAGTGCAAGGGCTAGAGTCACCGCCCTGCCCGCACCTGGTAGGTGAGCTCCTTGATGCGCCGCTCACTCTTCCTCATGCCCTTCACTGATTCTGCATTGCGCTTCTGCTCCACCTCCAGCTCATTCTCCAGCTCCCGCACCCGGGCCTCCAGCTTCTGCAGCTGCTTCTTGCCACCCTTGAGGGCGATCTGCTCAGCCTCGTCCAGC